CGTTCCCGTTTAGAGTCTTGAACATTGCTGTATCGGCAAAATCGGACGCTGTATTTTTAATCGAATTTTGCCATTTTACAATCCTAACCTCTGAAACCTAAAAACTATCATAATGCAATGGGAAATCTATTCCTTATGTTAATACATAGCGTGGAGACTGGATAGACTTTAGCCTCACTTAATACGTGAGGTTCTCCACTACCCCTGCATCCGGCTGAACCTACCCGACATATACTACTGATAGCAGTTAAGGCCATTAATAAGAAGCACGTGAATCCTGAAATCCTAGTGCTGGCACTGACTCGACGCAGGAGTATTTTGGTTGAAAGGGGCGTGACCTCATTTTCCTTGCCTTCGTACAATCCAAACAGAGAAAAAAGCAGGCACAAGAATTGTAAGCTCTTTTTCACTTAATTTTTTTTAAAAGACTTTGAAAAACACTCACACAAAAAGTATTACTTGAGTATATGCAAGTGAAAGAGAAAAAAATAAAGTTTTCTTTTAATTTTCAGCTTTAAAATTAGGAATTAAACTTTAGCAAACGAAAATGGCCTAATGTTTGTTTGATTCTGGACTTTTGGTTTCAAAAAACTTACCGAGCAAGCCGTATCCACTGAAATTTTAAAACTCACAATTGTATCATCACCGATACCGATATGCAGAAGTTTCTTCGTCTTTGAACCGTCGTCGTCGTAGATTAAGTTTATATAGAGCAAAGAAAGTTGTCATTTTCGCTGACTTATTTCTTCCAACCAAGCATTTATCAAAAGACAATAATTTTTCTCTTGACTCGATTGCGGTTCTGGCGGGAATTGACAGTTTTAATCTGTACATTTTTGTCTTTATTATTTGCAGCCGATTTTATCGCCATTTATTAAGATTCTAAACTGTTCTTTGTTTTCACGTCGTTGGAAAAACAGTTAAGTGATCGTTGGTAAACATTTTTACGCATTTCAAACAGGAGCTTGATTTTTAAACGATCAGGCTTGTTTCACTTTTGGAGGGATTAAAAATTTTGTTTACCAAGCCCTCGTCTTTGAAGGGATTAAAAGTTTTGCGTGCCTTACCCTCGTTTACTTGGCCTCCGTCTTGTTTGTGAAATTGAGGTAGTTTAAATATACTTTTTCTTCAATAATTACCAGGTTCAAGGCATCCAATGGATTTAATGCTTCCGAGAAAAGCCTCGGTTGCCGGACGCAGTTTCTCATGTTAAAACTGAACACAACTGTTCTGCATTAGTTCCATTTCGCATGTGTATGCTAGGTCGTATAATACTCCTCAAAATGAATCATAGGACTCTCTGTCCTTTTGGTTACTACTCAATTTTGTATCGTTTGAAAGTGATATTAGTTGGTTTCACGAAAGTGGTTTCTAATAGAACAAACCATTTGTGAAGGGTGAAAGTTATAATTTTTACCCTGGGGTGTTTTTTGAAGAGATACTTTTTCCGTCAGATCCTAAGGCCAAATATAAAATTGAGCTTGCTTTTTGTCTGCTTCATTTTTTTTCATACCAACGAGATTTCAATTTTCCTCCGCGATTCTTTTGTCTCCTGCAGTCTCGTAAACTCACATCAGATTTTTGTTTCTGGACTCCCTGGTATTCCTCTGTGGTTCATTTTCTGAATCTTGGGAGCGTTCTAGTGTTGGTGTTTCTGTCTATGACTCCAATTGTTTTGAATTGTCAATGTCTAGATTCTTTATGGCAATAATTGCCAGATGGAATTGGTCAATTCAATTTGTCCATTGGTTGGGGGTTCTACCGTATGGTTAGGCCACAAAGCAGGAACTCCCCGCAGATTTCTATCCGTTGAATGTGCCATAATAAAGAGTGTTCAAATACCACTGGTGTACTTAAGATTAATAAAGCTAAGAAAGCAAAAAAAACAGAATGAATTGATTTAAAACGGTATTTTATAAAACAAAATATTAGAAAAGCGCCGCCAAGTCAAATGGACTTCGAGACGCAATTTAGCAAGTGTCTAATTAAGAACAGAGGTCAAACTAAGAGAAATAAAATAAAAATCACAACAGTCTTGTAGTTGTCTAGTTGATTGTCTGAAAACAAATTTTCAGAATTTTTTTTTCTAGTCGAGTGATATTCGCCAGATGATATCTATCAAATTGTCAGTTTTAATCATTTAACATTTGAAATCAAACTTTTCTTTCGAAAGTAATAAATTTATGACATGTAATCATAATGTTTATCATGCAGTATCAATAACTAACTGAACTAAGGAGTTTTGGGGAAAAAATAAGAATATCACTCTGAGGACCAGTAAAAGTTGCCCCGTCAAGCAGACTAATGAGAGGGAGAGAGAGATTTGGCACAGCTTTCTTGTCGCTTTCTGGCGTCATATCGCAACAAAAGCTCGAAGTTGTCTTCCCTAAAGCCCTAAAGGCTCGAATTTTTCGCTTATCGGTAATAATTGCTTTAATTAAACTAATTTGGACTGGAAACTTATAGAAACAAGGATATTGGGCCCATCTGAACAATTCTTCCTTAATCCCTTTGACCAAATTCATGAACCTCATTTAGGACCACAAGTGAACCCCCCTCACACAGTCTAGACCAGTAACGTTTTAAACTTTTGGGATTTTTCAGAAGTTACGACAATGGCGACGCCGGTTTCTCGAGTATGTACGATGAGTTGGGTTTGTCCATGGACAGCCGAACAGATACATAGCTAAAGGACCAGTGCTCCAGGCTTTCATCGCAGTCAGCGGTCACAGTCAGCGAAGTGGATTTCGACTTTTGAAGAGTGGGAGAGCAAGGGCGAGGGCGATGTAGAGGGCAATTGCGAGAGTGAGAGGGAATAATTCAACTCAGAATCTCAATGCTATACTATATAACAAAGTTCTTTTATTCACTATATATCAAAACGAATCTGATTTTTCTCAGAAGAACCAGTCATGTCATTCAGCTCAGAACTGCATCCAATAAGTTAATGTTAGTTTTCGATTCTATATTGGAAAGTGAGTTGACGCTTGGTTTCAAGATCCTCACAGAGCCACCAAGTTGCGAAAGCAAGGGACACAGCGACCTAGCGAACCTCTGTAATTTGAGTCAGTCAAGCCCACGGAGCCTAAATTTGTTCGTAATGATTCATTCATCAAATTCATTAGCTTAAGTTACCCTTCATTTTTATGGCTGACTCTTTTTTGATATATCATTTTCTTTGTCATTATTCAAATTTCTTTCGTTTATAAAAAACTGAAACTTTTTTGAAAATTTTTAAAAACGGTTTGCTATTCTGTACCAAATTGTGTTATTTATTGAGCTTTCTGCCAATTTGATTTAAGCCATTCTATTTTTCGTTGTAATTAAAATTTTAAAATTACCTATCTGAGTTGAGTAAAACTGTTTCCGGCTCTGTAGGAAATCCCATAACGATTCAATTAATTAGAATATACGTAGGCAGTGAAACTAGTAGTTGTTTTGTAAGGTGAATGATATTTCTGTGTGAATGGATTTTTGATATTATTTTTAAATTTTCCCGTATACTGAAAAGCGTCTAAAAACACATGAATTCCTAGTTTCCAATGGTTATTAAGACCATTTTTGATTATTTGCAATTAAAATTGATCAATCTTTTTATGACTCTATTTGGTGATATTTTATTTGTTTGCAAACTCAAAAATTTTCAAATTTACCATAAAAATCCTTTTTTTTTTCAGAAAAAATGTCAGAATTTAGTGGTCCAATATCAGATGTTTCAGGTGTTTCATTGATTCCTTGATGGCAACCTAAAATTTTAATTTATTTCATATCACTTTGGCATACAGATCACATCACGGACTGAGTGAGCATTAGCTTTCAAACGAATAAACGTTATCATTTCAAAGTTGATTGTCATAAAATTTCGGCTGCTTTGTTAGGAGCACTGCCGCTTTAAAATCGTTTAAATCCATAAAAAACTCGACTGGAATCAGGTAGGGCAATAACAATAATTTTTTTATCTGAGAGTAAAGACACTGATACGATAACTGTTTAATTTTTCCTTTAAGTCAGTGGCCAGTCTCAGTAATGGTCCTACTAGTTTAAAAAAGGCTGTGTTTCTTACTAATAAGTGCAAATAATTCATATTCGGAAATTAAACAAAACAAGACTGCTCGTATCAGGGCCAAACCCTGAATGTTCCGACTGCCTATTAAGGTTTATGGAGCAGTAATAATATTGAAAAATTAAAATTAATAAAATAAAATGAAAATTTTTTTTTCTTAATTTGAAATTTTTTTAAAATAAAAATCATCCCCCCACACGCCATATAAAGTAGAAAAGGATAGAGTTCGCTACTTGTAACGAATCAACTATGGCAAATAAGCTTCGTTAAACCAATTTGGAACGATTTCTAAGACGGATTAACTCTCCGCTTACGCGTTAATAGCGCGAACTATATCGCGCGTTAATTGTCCCAAATTGGCCAAAATGGCAATCTTTAAACCCTCGTAACTTTACGAAAAATGATCACAGGTGAAATATCTTTTCAAATTCGAGCTCAGGATAACAATACTTTTCGAATGATATATAAAAAAATTCCGTCAAAAATGGCTAGTTAAAAAGTCGAAATTTGTCTGAAGAAAAAAACCCACCCCGAGCACAAATATTCCGTTACTTTCGTATCGAAAGTCGGAACAAAAAGTCGGATTCGATACTCTCCTTATCTCAAAATAACACATTTGAGGGGCATTTAAAAAAATGTTCCGTGTAGTTTGCATAACGTTACAATTTATGATTTTCGTTTTGCCTGGAATTCCCATTGGATCGAGTCTGGGAAAAAAAACAGCCATGGACATGGTTTATATTAGGAATGCCTTGCAGAAAAAAAACGTGCCCAAGTATGACATGGTCTTTTCTTTTTTCAACTTTCTCTTTTTTTGGAGGGAGCTCAACGTAGTCGGAACAACCTAGTCGGTACAACCTTGTCGGAACAACTATTTTGAAGTAACATTCCCTCAAAAGGAAATAATGTTTTTTAATTAAAATGATCACTTAAAGAATTCTATCAAAGTCTTAGCCAGTTTTTGTTCTATTACGGGGAACTACAAGAGAACAGAGTAACTTGATCTGCTAAAACTTAAGAGTTAGCTGATGATAAAAATAATCAACCAAGCTAGTAATTGTTTTCAGTGATTTTTATCTGTGGAAACGCCTTTTGTATTTTTTCTACCTCTCTTTCATAAATATCTTCTTGTTCCAAGCCCGACCACGTTTCAATAGTGTCTGGCTTTTTGGAAAGTTTTAGTTTATCCGGGGCTATTTCTAGAATTGGCGCGTCTTCCTTGAACTTGTAACTGTTTTTCCTGACTTGCTGCCCTAATTTTCCTCCGTCCATAGCCATTGGCAATTTAACCCAAAGTCGAGAACGTCTATTTATTGTCGGCTCTTCGGGTTGAGCAATCGAAGGGGTTCTAGGATCAAGTAGACCCTCGAGTTTTGCCAGAAACATTTGCTGTTTGAATGTGAGGGGAATTTTACGGTTGAATTTGGAGACTTTGGTACCGTCTCTCGAATTGTACCACTTGAGGCCGAAGAACTCGCGTAGCTGTTCGTCTACTACTTCTCCGGAACTGTCGCTCTCGTCTGAGCCTCTTCGGGAAAACGTCGCTTGATGTTTCTCATCTGCTTGTCCAGGTACTGACAGTAACGCTGGCTTACGTTGGGTTATCAAAGGCGACAGTCTTCTTGGTAGTTTTTTGTTGTGAACGTCTCGTTTTTTGTTTTCTGTTGCCTGTCAATTCAAAAAACTGATTTTTAGCATGTCAGTTGAGATCTTCACACTTATGATGATCATTTGGCAACTAAAATGTGATAGTTGTTCATTGTATGAGCGCCTTACTGAGTCTGACTAATTCCAACATCTGCATGATTTTATTAAGCAAACTTCCACCGCTCAAAATTTTGGGATAAACTGGGGACACAATCTAGACTTTTTGAAAAAATGACGAAACTTTCATTGACGCATTCTTCCTATGATAGCCGAATTTATCACATTGAAATTTGAAAAATTTTCGTCACCAGTCCTTGAAAAATTGTAATGGTGCTTTTTCACTCGCCAATTTGTACTAAATTTGAGCGAAAGCGCGCATCAAAAATAAAGCAGCATTAGCATCAGTAACTGATTGTAGGGGGAGCTTTCTTTTTCTCATCAGGGTTGACAAAAATTGCTAGTCATACAGTTTTGTCATTATTTTTAGATATGAAACTGAATGATTAGCCTTTTCCTTCTGTGGAGGTCAACCTGGAGAGGGATTCAGACCACATGTACCCTCTAAAGGGTCCCGTAATTTTCTAGGACACTGATTAGCCGACTTGTCTTAAAATCTTAAAATATTTTTTCACTGCGCTTTTGGCCCAGTTTTAGACTAAAATTGAGAGGAACAGCGCGTGTAAAATCAAAAGATCCAAAATATGCCAACAAACGGCGTTCTTGTCTTTCTTTTTGAAACATTAGCCTGTAGGCAAAATGGGTTGATCTATTAAATTTTCTGGGGAAATTTTGAACTTGAAGTTTTTCGACAAAAAAAGTTGATATCATGCTTTAAAAAACTCGTATTTTCAGCCTACACGCTGTTGTTTCAACCAACTATTAATGTCCTGTGGAGCTTTTCCACTCCGATACTGTAAGAAAAATAAATTAAAGTTTAGAAACTTCGAGCTACTCTCCTCCGCGATAATTCAACATCCCCCTCCCATATTGAAAGACGCGCATGACACTGTGTGTACCTTGAGGGGTATAGACTGTCGATTGGACTGTGTGGGGGGATGCCACTCGTGCCACTGCATCCGTATGTTCATCAGTTTCTTCGCGAACACCTCCTCACTGGATCTCAGGTTGTGGGTGAACATGTCTTTGCACTTTTCATTCACCTATGTAGAACAACCAATTGATATCAATAATTGAATAATCACAAAAAGTTGTTTTACACGAGATAGAGCAAATCCATATTTCAAATAAATTTGGTAAGTGTTGTCATAGCACCGCTTCGAGTCGCCAATACTTGGCCTGTTTTCAGGTGCCACGAGAGAGCAATCATTTTGACAGTATCAAAGGGTCATCCTTGTAAAAAAAGTTTTAAAATGATTAGGAACTTAAGACTAGACAAAAGATTTCGCAAAACACGCACCAAAAAAATCGAGAAACGCTATCTGATGTATCCCAATAGATGTAATAGTCGCCTTCAAACAAAAATTAGAGCCGGTCTCAATTTATTTTCAAACTTTGCGAGTTGTCGATTTTCTTAAAATTTGCGAATTGTCTTATGTTGCGAGTTTTCTTTGGCGACGAGTTTGTCGAGGTACATTGAACAGTATTTGTTTCTTTCCTTTTTTCCATCTTATTCCTTCTTTGTAGTGGCGCCACAGGTTTGAGAATTTTTCATTTGCGCAAATGAAGAGAGATCTGAGTTTCCGTAGAAAACCATAAAAGTCACTCCTCTTCGAAGATAAATTTTCATCAGAGGAAATAAAAAGGTTGTTCGAGCATTTAATTCCTTGTGAATATGTTTAAAACTAGGTTAGGTGTTGCTTTTCAGTGAATTTTTTGCTTTTCAGAATAAAAAGTAAACGAAAGGGTTCATACTAAGCTTAAATTGGATTGAGTGGGAAAATTTTGTTAGCAAAAATAAAACGCATGATTAGAAAAAACATCACTATAATAAAACTAATCTGTATTTTTTGTTTAAAATTGACTTTTTGAATATCCTCAAAACTTTTCCGTTTTTGCTATAATCTTGCGTTTGTTTTTCATAATTAGAATAAAGTTATTGGCGTAAACTATTTCATCTTTCCATTCCAGCATTCATTTGAATTAAAAATTCTACTTTACCGGATATATTCAAGATATTGGTATCAGATTGAATTGTTCCAATGATTTTAAAGCCCCTTTTGAAGCCCTCAAACAACCTGAATCTTTTTGTAGGTTCACCGCTTAACAGCTTGCTTGAAAAAACTAAAGTGGTTTACAAAACTTTTGCTTCAAGTCTTGTTTGAATAACCTAATTTATAAGCAAGTCAGTTCCAGCGAATCAACCGTACAATCTCCCCCACCATAAGTGACACCTATCATAGAACTCCCCAATCTTTTTGTTCCGACTTTCGATACGAAAGTAACGGAATATTTGTGCTCGGGGTGGGTTTTTTTTTCTTCAGACAAATTTCGACTTTTTAACTAGCCATTTTTGACGGAATTTCTTTTTATCATTCAAAAGGTATTGTTGTCCTGAGTTTAAATTTGAAACGATATTTCATCTGTGATCATTTTTCGTAAAGTTATGAGGGTTTAAAGATTACCATTTTGGCTAATTTGGGACAATTAACGCGCGATATATTTCGCGCTATTAACGCGTAAGCGGAGAATTAATCCGTCTTAGAAATAGTTCAAAATTGGTTGAGCGAAGCTTACTTGCCATAATTGATTTGTTACAAGGAGCAAAATCTATTCTCTTGTAGTTTATATGGCGTAAGGGGGGATGATTTTCATGAGAAAAATTTCAAATTTTAGAGAAAAAAAAGTTCATTTTATTTTATTTCATTTTATGTTATTACTGCTCCATAAACCTTAAAAGGCAGTCGGAACATTCAGGGCTTCGCCCTGATACGAGCAGTCTTGTTTGTTTTTGAAATCTAATTCCGCATAAATGATTGGTTTCAATCAATGCGCACTGAATAAACTGCCGGAGAAATTTTTTAAATATTCAATAGCTGTTTTATCCTGTTAATAACCAAAAAAATAATCATAATTTGGTTTCGATTGATTTTTTGATTAACTAGATCAAATTATTTTGCCCTCAAAGTCCATATTTGAAAAACGTGTATTATGAGAGCCCCAAAGGGTCCTGTTAGCAACAGAATTGTCAAAATTGTACAGCAGTTTTTTTTTATAGAGCAGCAGATAAGGCTTTGAAACGATTTCTAGGACGGATTGAATATCACGTTACGCGTTAAAAGCGCGAAATCTATCGCGCGTTAGTTGTCCCAAATTGATCAAAGTGAAATAATTTTTTAAATTTAAGCTCAGGACACCAATACTTTTTGAATGATAAAAATTTTTTTGTCAAAAATGGCTAGTTAAAAAGTCGAAATTTGTCTGAAGAAAAAAAATCCACCCCGAGCACAAATATTCCGTTACTTTCGTATCGAAAGTTGGAACAATAAGATGGCAGAACTTGTACTGAAATTGACAATTCTGTCATCACAGATAAACTTCAATGGGGTCCTTCATTCTTTAACATTAAATACTGTGCATGAACCACGTTAAAAGCAAAAGTTTAAGTTTTTCTGTTCATAAAACTGGTTTAGCAACTAAAACGAGAACTACAGAAAAACTTCCCCAGTTTTGGAATTTTTGTATGCAAAAACGTTCACCAAACAATTTTTATAAATGGAAATTGTACAATAAACAATTTTGATGATCAGTATGTTCTTATTCATTTGAAACCCAATGAAAACTTACCTAAGAACCCTTCTCAAAGGATTTTAAAAAATTAAAAAAAAACACTTATCATATAATTTTCAGTACTAGGAACCGTAGGACAAGCATTTTTTTTCATTTAACCCATGACTTGAGTTGTATGAAAATTATTTTTTTTGTACAAAGTTGTATGACAAGCATTTTTGTTGTATGGGGTCATTCCGGGTATGCTATACCCGACTAAGTTTCTAACAAAAACTTGTCTATTTTCAGAAACACAAAAAACGAATCTATATGCGACTCTACTTGTCTACTGTTTTGCTTCCTGAAAATACTCTGCTCGTTTTTCAAATTGATTTTTTTTCGAAAAGCAATAAAAACGGCAAACTTTTTTGTAATAACGCATGATTCCTGAGAATTTTCATAGAGCATAAAAAGCACAATCTTTTCTATAAAGCAGCAGAATTTCCTCTATACAGCAGCAAAAATCCTGGGGGCCGGTGTTTTATCCACCACAAATCAGTTTGAGGGGTGGGGGTAATTAAACGGTTGATCCGTTCAAGCCATTGTAGAGACTTGAAGTGTTTCTGAAATGATTTTTAACTCTCTGGCTATCAAAAACAAGTAAACTGTCTCAGAATTTATCCGCTCAATTTTCTTAAAAGTTATCGATCGATGCAAATGAAACCACTTGAAAACGTTCGATGATGGGCCAACAAACCGAAACTAAAATTATCATTTCAAAAACCAAAAATGAATATTTTACGCAACAACAGCAGATTGTCATTGTTTTATGCAATCGTTACGTAATTCTGGTGCAATTTACTTTAATCTGATGTAATTTTGGCTTCGGATATGGCGGTTTGTTGAACATCCTCCGAAAAAAGTAAGCACATCAGAACTTTTTTTAGCACATCACTAAAAAACAGTTGCGTATTCTCAGCGAAAACGTCTTTTAGCATGACTTTCCTAATTTTTTTCGGGGGATGTTTTCTTTTCCTGAATTTTTTTAGAAACGGTAAAGGCCGATAAATGACGCATTTCTAAAAAAAAACTTTTTGCATTATTTGAAGCATGAAAATTATAAACTTCATCTCTGGCGACTTTTTTTCATTTAATAAGATTTTTTTCCATTTCGAATCGAAGAAATTTAATCTGACCTTCAAAGTCCTGTTCAACTTAGAAGCCTCCATTTGGTTGTTTTTGTTGCATTTCTTCTTCGACCTTTGCTCCAGTTTGCATTCGTAATTGTCGAGTGAAATTCCCTTCAACCCCGGCAGCTCCAGCACTCTCACGCCCAACCTCGTTGTCGCTGTCATATCAGCTAAGCTCAATTAACTGGACAAAATTAGAGTTGAATTAAATCAGAAAGAATTTAAGCTCAAAATGGTATATAGTTTACAACACAGCTTGACTATTATCAAATTTTTGTTTTTGAACAAAAGACGTTTTTATTACATACATACTTCAAAGGAACCGAAAACCGACTATGGTCCAAGTGCTATCGAACTCTCAAATTACCATCATTTTACGATCACTGCAAATTTTTGATGTAGATAAGGCCTGCTTTTACTCTTCTGATCAGTTACTGAGCAAGAAAATTCATTTTGCTAAGTTTTATGTTTCAGCAGTTTGAATAAACAAAACATGATCTGAGTTAACAAAATGATTTATGACCATCAGAGGGACTTAATACGATTGGTTTTGAACAAGTAGAAACTATTACACTATCGTATGAAACTTCCTATGAAGCCCCTCTGCTGATAAATTCAAATGAATTTTTCAATCAATAACTTATGCAAAATCAAACCAAATTTTTGCTGAAGCAGGTTTTGATGCCAGCTAAGAATTTTTAAAAGGAGAGTAGAGTTTTTTATTATCTCTCAAAGAACTTCAATTTGAGAGTAGACCAAGGTGAGGATTGTTAACTTGGTCTCAAATTGGAGCTCTTCCAGCGATTCGTCCAGATTGATCAGAACCATGTTCAATTCGTCCAACAAGCCGAATACTTATCAGAAAAACAAACTGGGTCTCCCGTCTTAGAAAAATACCTCATATAAACCAAATGGTAAAATGAGCAAGCAAATAAACCGCCAAAAGAAGTCAAATTTCCGTGGACTATCACTTTGTTTTAGTCGAGACATGCATCAATCTTGAGCGATTTATCTATTGATCCTTGTGGTAGTAGCCTCATGGTCACATAACAACGTAGCGTATTGGTAAAACGTAAGAGAAACAACTTGAATTCCTACAAAAAACTGTCGCCAATGGCGGTACGTGATTGTTACGCTACCTGAAGCAATGTCTTTGACATTAGTAATTACAAGTCTTACATAGTCACCACTACACTCCCCTTTCGACAAATTGAAAACAATATACTAATTTCAATCATTTTTACTGCAATTTATATTATCTAATTCATGAACTTTCATTAGTCTGTGGTTTTGATACCCTTTGGTACGATAAGATGAATCTGATACGATACCCCGTTATCTTCCCTTCTTTTCAGAAAATTCTTGTAGCCTTACAAACTCTTGAGTTCTTCGAGGATTTGGCGTTTATCTTCATCAGTCATACTGATCGCAATTTTTTTGTCTGCTATATCTAGCTCGTTGGTCGCCATGAGGCCGTTAGAATTGCCATTGATAAAGGCCAGTTCTGCTATCTCATGGATGATCTGGCCCCCTGTTTCCTCCGTTTGGGTTCCCTCGGTCGTGATCCTTTCTGTAACCTCTGGCGACCGGGTTTCTACCAACGATACTACTGTTTTTGTTTCCGTTGACTGGGTGTCCTCCTCTTCGTTATCTTCTTCTGTGTTCGCAATGCGAACTCTTTACGAGATTGGCGCAGAGACGCCCGAGCCCGTGGAGCTATACGATGTAGTAGCTTAGGGCCAGCTCCGTCAATCGGGTCGCGTGTACGTTGAATTGTCCCCACAGAAACTTGTACTAATATTACCAGAGCTGGTCTTTTGCGGCTGATCCGAATTCATACCTCGAGTCTCTGATATATCGCTTGTACTCTACAGTTTACTAAGCGCTCATTGCTGGTTGAATGCTTAGTAATTTTATCCTAAGTTATAAGTCTCACCTTAGATCGTCAGGTTGTCTTGACAAAAGTTAGAGAAGAAACAATAGTTAGAAAAGGTATGAATTAATTAGTTGGTTAAATACAAAGCACTGAGTTATTAGATTATATAAACGAATCGAACAGTTTAGAGAAATATACCTATGAGGGGAGGTTGAGCTGATCTTAATTTGTTCATCAATATTTTTTCTTCTTACTAAGGTCGATGGCTGATTAGTATGTATGGGTCGCCCTTGATTGTGTCCACTTCGGCACTTCTGGTTTGGTCGTCAGTATCGTCTTTGCCGTAGTCCTTTGGGTACTTGTAGTCCAGACTTCCTCAGGTGTGGGTCTCTCGAGTATCTCGATTTATAATTTTATCGAACTTTAAATGAGAATTTATTCTCTATTTTATTTGTGAAAAAAGGCTAGTTTAATTTTATTATAAAGGCAGAAAACAAAAATTATTTATTTTGAAAAGGTCTGACTGAAGAGATCTAACTTGCTGCTTACTGAGCAAAATGAAACACTGAAGATTTCAGGCCAGTCCTTTTGCTCGTAAGCATAAACCGGCGGCTGATTCAATCTTTAATTATTCAGGTTTCACCTGCTCCTTTGTTCTTCCTTTCTTATAAGGGAATTTTCAACTAGTTTTCATTTGATTTTTTCAAATCAAATATCTTTAACTTATTAGTCCTCTTTGATTTGAAACCACAGCCTTCAATTTTTCTGATTAAAAATTCATATTACTCTCTCTGATGCATCATATTGCAGGTGCATCTCTGCTTAATCAAAGCAAGGAGAATTTCAGTGCAGCCGGCAAGACTGCTAAATATTTATCCATTTTGTTTCAAGTTAAAGTTAAAAGAGACGTGTTAATAATCGCCGCCCTTTGAAAATAGTGAGCATGAAAAAATGAGAAAAATTGGACAAGTATTTAAAAAGGAGTGGATTTACAAAACAAGACTTTATAGTCCTAATAAGAGTAAATCAGGAAATATCTGATTTAGTGAAAAGAGGCTTTAATTTAAATGGCACGCTCCAATTTAGAATTGGGTCGTTAAATAAACAATTAAGACAATGGTCTTTTGTCTGTGTAGTATTTTAAACACTTTAACTCACCCCTTTTTTAGAAAATTAAGCTGTTCGATTCTTACAGTTACCATAGTGAAAATTTAAACACTTTAATGATTAAAAACTATAGTTATAACATTTGAAAAGAACATCAAATGAAAAAGTTATGTAGATAAGTTAGGTTAATGGACTCAAATTTATATAAGGTTTTTGTTCTCAATAGCTCTAAATTTCGTCTAGAGCTTCCTTCCGTTTTCTAGCTCCACATTGTACGATCTGAGGATCGCTATCTTCCTCTGTGAAGCCTCGAGTTTTGTTGCAACTTGACGATTTTCTTTTTTTACTATTTTGTTCTTGATTCGCAGTCTGCTCATCCCGTCCGTAAGCTCTTGAATATCGTCTTGTTCCTGTTTGGGTTTTATATAGTTCGGGAAGGCAGTTAATCCCTCAAACGGGATGGTGACTTGCGTTCCTCCTGCCTTCAGGATGTAGCCATGTTCCTCTCTCTTCTTTAATTTCCAGAAGTTGGTTTCGTTCTTTATAACCACTTCTTGTTGGGTTATGAAGTCGACAGGCATCATCGCTTTTTCCATTGTCGTTGAGTTGACGACTTCAATAAACTTCCATCTGTTATAACTTTGCTTTAATGAGTACTTTAAACTCGTTATAATTTTTGGGTTTTCCGTATCCAATTTGGCTTCTCTGCTCTTCTGCAGTACCAATCTTTGAGTCAAACTGGGAAAATTCCGAGGGTTCTTATTTAGCCCGTCGTCCATTGACAAAGATTGTACTGCTACAGGTTTTCGTTGTTTCTTTCTGAGAGGCAGCTTTCTTTTAAACTCCTCTGGTGCTGGGTCAGCATTTTGGCAGTTCCAGTTCAAAATTGGGTCATATTCCAATTTGCTAAATATCATTAAAAAATAATCAAATATTCAAAATCCCGAATTACATTCGGTACTAAGGCTAATTATCAAATGTTTGAACAGTGAAGGACAAAGTGTAAAATTGTATAAATATAAAAGGTGGAAAATATAATTTTGTGGTTTCACACAAACCCACCATGGAAAACAAATGAAGAAAAACGATCATGGTGTTCATTAACCACAGGAATAAAGCACTTTACAAGACTGAGTTAAGCTCAGATTTTAAGCTTATGTAGTTAAAGCAAAATTGGAAATTTGGGCATTAATTAAACCCTAATCCTAAATGTATGGCCACCTGGAGTCATCCACAGGTTACCATGGGGTCCACTTTTATAGGTAAAAGGGACTAGAAAAAACCGGGGGGGGGGGGGGTAAATAGTATATAATATAGCATGTGTAAACGAGATTTTTTTGTTTATTGTTATTTAAAAAGATATATAAATTGTGAGCGGATTACTGAATTCTTGAGGCCTTACCAAATGTAGGAGTGTAGAGGAATCGTATAAGGACATCGTTTAATTGTGGAGAATTAATTCCAGGGGTCGGAAAAATCACAAGGGATGTGGCATAAGGGACAAAATTTTGCAGTATTAGGGAGGCATCTTGTACAAATAGGGATACCTTGATGGCAATCAGTAAGATGTTGATAGCTTGCCATACTCTGGGTCTGGGTATTTCCCCAATTTGCTTTTCTAACCATACTATCGCATAAACAACAAGGGAAATAATATAAAAGTGATTGGGTATAGTTTGGGACTTGGCAAAAGGGGCATAAAATTTGTCCATATTTAGAAAAATGGGCTAACATTTGCTCATGACAGTCTATACAGATGAAGTGTGGTGGATGATGTGGCTGGTTATTTTGTTGTTTCTTGATTTTGGATTTTGGTAGGTAGCAAATCGGGCATTCAAGAGTGGGTTGTTGAATGGTTTTTCAAAAGTACTGTACAATGGGCTGAGAAACATAAAGAAAATTTTGGAAATAAAAATAACAAGCTTGGAAAATTTTACAAATAAAAACACTGGTAAAGTTATTTGAATCAATTTAAATTGAGGAAAGATTAAAGCATAGGTCGATTCGAGGTTTGAAAATTGATGTTGATAACATCTTCGTCATTGTTGAACATATCATTTATTATAATATATAAAATCTACTACTGCTTTTGACAGTAAATTTTTCCTCATCGTGGAAGCCAGGACTATAACGTTTGCAAAAAATATCCAACTGCTGTTGATCGGGATGAATATAAATACGATTTGTACGCGCTTGGTATCCGTCAACTTGGACGAGGAGATTGTAATCAAGGACAAAATCAATTTCCATTACCAAGCAGAACATTTTGTAACTTCCTAAACAAACAG